CTGCACTTGCTCTTTTCTTCTGGATTGATAAATGGCCAGTGATGAATTGCTCAATAAGAACAGATTATCTACACTTGTTCATTTTTTTATCTATTCTTCTTTTTGCCCCTGTTGTGGCTCAATAAGTAATGAATTGCTCAATAAGAATAGTTTATCTGTACCCTTATTGTGGGCTGTTTTTTAAATTTGCATGATTGACTCAGTGGTTATATACCTCTACACTTGTTCTTTTGATGTTATGATTTCCTCTTTTTATCCCTTCATGCAAATGAATATAATTGATGCATATTTCTGAGCAAAACTGAGGCCATATCTTTCATAGTATACCCCGTATTACATGATTTTGGTGCAGTGAATCTTGAATGTGGATTTAAGTGCAACTGCTGCTGTCTATGTTTGCCCTTGCTGTCTATGTTTGCCCATGCTGCTGCCTATGGTTGCAACTGTTAGTTAAGTGCAACAGATTATCTACACTTGTTCATTTTTTTATCTATTCTTCTTTTTGCCCCTGTTGTGGCTCAATAAGTAATGAATTGCTCAATAAGAATAGTTTATCTGTACCCTTATTGTGGGCTGTTTTTTAAATTTGCATGATTGATTCAGTGGTTATATACCTCTACACTTGTTCTTTTTTTATGCATAAGAACAGATTTTCTGCACTTGTTCATTTTTTTATCTACAATAATATATGCATGATTTATATACCACTGCTGTTGTTGCCCCTGTACTTCTTGTTAAATGGCCAAGGATGAATTGCTTAATAACATTCTATATATACCTGTTCTTTTCTTTATGGATAAGAACAGATTATCTACACTTGTTGATTTATATACCCTTGCTGTCTATGTGAATTTCCCTCTGCTGTTGCTGTTTATGTGAATTTCCACCCTGCTGTTGCTGTTTATGTGAATCTCCCCTTGCTGTTGCTGCCCCTGTGGCATATATACCCCTACTGCTGTTATATGGCCCTGCTACTGCTCTTATTGCTGCTATTATATGGCCATGCTGTTGCTACTACTCTAATTTCCTGCACTTGCTCTTTTCCTTATGGATAAGAACAGATGAACTACACTTGTTCTATTTTATTGATAAGAACAGATGAACTACACTTGTTCTATGTTCTTTGGGTTGCTTTTTTCTCCTAGTAGCTGATTTCCTCTTTTTATCCCTTCATGCAAATGATTGTAATTGATGCATATTTCTCAGCAAAACTGAGGCCATATCTTTCATAGTATACCCCGTATTACATTGGATCTAATGCTATTTAGTCTAACGGTAGTAAATTTATAATCTTTTTCGCGAAAGTTAAACCATGTCAACGCCCGGCGCAAACCCGCCCTCCCCAACACCTGCGAGGATCCAGGAAGAAGCAAACCCAGCCACAAAGGCAGTTGCCGAAGGTCATCCCGCGACAACGGCGGTCCAACAACCCGAAATTCATGGTAATTTATAGGATAAATTTTCACCACATAACCACATAAATTTTAGCTAGCACCCCTTAGCAAATATTGCCTTCTGTTTGTGCTGCAGAATTGCCGCAGGAACAACATACGTCGATGTCGAGCGAGACAAGTGCAAGTAGGTCTAGTAGAAATCCGCGGTCACAAAATATATGGCCGACCACAGTGCAAGTTATAAGAGAGGTTGACGCTAGTGGTAGGCCCACGGCGCCCAGGACTGTCATTGGAAGATGGTCTAACTGCTGCGGGATAGCGGCACGTGAGAACTTCGGGATCCTCCATAAAGATATCGGGAAGGTCACAGAAGCCGAGAAAGAGCGAGCTTGGACGGCAATGGAGAAATGGTTCACATTTCCAGCCGAAGCAAAGGATAGGCTCAAGCGGAAGGCATTCCAAAAGATGGGCAAAGCTTGGAAGAATTGGAAGTCGAAGCTCTTCACCGAGTATGTCAACCCGCCCGGCAATCATACGCCGTTCGATGAATACCCTCAAATAACCGAAGCGGTGTGGGAGGAATTCTGCTCTCTCAAGACCACCCAAGAGTTTAGGGAATCCAGCGAGGCACATCGCGTACTGCAACAGCGGAATGAGCACCCGCATCGGCTGGGCACCGCAGGGTACATCGGCAAGGAGGCAATATGGGCCCAAGAAGATGCAGCCGCTGCAGCAGCGAATGTCCCTGCCCCGTTTTCAGACATCCCTGAACAAAGAGCTCGCAACTGGGCGCGGGCAAGGGGTAAGGTCAACCCGGACGGCTCTGTCACATTTGAGAACAAAAGTGATGCCGTCGTCTATCAGGAACTGGTGAGTTCACTACTTAACCTAACTAATTTCCGTTCGTATAAAGTACAAGTTCGTATAAACGACTATCTTCTTTTCCAGTTGGGCTTGGTTGCTGAACAAGCTTCACAAAGCGAGGTTGAGTCCGCGCCGAAGAGGCGCGAAGATGACATCCTCACAAAGGCGCTCGGAACCAAAGAACATCCTGGCCGAACTCGGGGAATTGGTAGCGATGTGCCCTGGAAGCATGGACTCCCTCAGTACAGCTCCCAATACAGGAAACGGAAAGTCTCCAAGGAAGAGAGGGACGCTCGTTTGAAGGCCGAACTTAAGGTTGAGGTCATTCAAGAACTAGAAGCTAGCATGAATGCAAGGGTGGAAGAAAGGGTTAACAAGGTGCTCGCCGACATGAATATACCCCGAGTCACAACACCTGCTGTGCAACCAACTCCTCGTGTACAACACGACGCGAGTCCGTCACAGCATAGGAGTAGTTGTGCATCCACAGAGGTGCCGGCCCCTGGTCTCCCGATCGCACCACTAGCTGCAGTGGACCACATCGAGGTAATTGTTGTTATCCGATCCATATCTAATAAAAGACATTTACACATTCCAATATTAAATTCAAACTTTCACCTTATGCAGGGCGCAGCACAGTGTGTCCTACTAGCGAGAGTCCACCCAACTTTCGCTCCTGAAGTCGCTGAGGGCATGGCTTTCAAGCCCTCGGTTACAGACAAGGTCCACGGCGCAGACCTGCTAGCTGGGTATGCCAAGGTGTCCATCGATACAGTAAAGGACACCTGGTCAGGCTATCCGCTGCCCGTGCCCCCAAATGATGAAATCATGACTTTGGGCGATGCGCGCAAGACGTTCATACAATGGCCTAAAGAAGACATAGTTGTGAAGATGACTCCTCGTCCAAGTCGACCGACGGAGCTTACACCTTCCAAGTCTTAGCTATCCATTTGGGCTCCCCGTGGACCGGCATTGTCAGTACCTCATTCTCCCGGTGGAGCTGATATGGACTTGGCAGATATAGCTCAAAGCTTGGCTCCAATAAAGACCACAAGAAAGGCCGATAGCTCCCCACCACTTGTCAAGGGCCAGAAGCGTGAACGAGGCAAGGGGAAGGTCGGGGAGTTGGCGCCGGAGCCAAAAAGGGGCAAGGCTGCGACGTCGATGCCGGTGAGCAAATCGGGGAAGGTCGTGAGGGCGCCAGCCCAATTTGAGCTAGGCATGCCATTGGTGGAGGACAATGTGTTAGCTGTGATGGGTATTGCTTGCCGAGAGCTACATAAGCAATACATGGAGCTAAGCAACGCCAAGCGGAAAATGAGGGAGTCATCCATAGTTGGACATCACGACCACCAGCCGTTCCTATCGTCGCCTGCCTATATAACTATAGGCTTTGATGACCTCTTCGACCTTTTCAGGATCCGGAAGTTGGACACTGGTCTTCTAAAATGCTACTCCTTGTAAGTGCATACCTTCTATACTTGTGATATGACTGGACTATATCTCCTAATTAAATTAGTTCTAATACGTAAATATTTTAAGGTTGTGTTGGATCGAGAGTCGTCGCCATGGTAATCAGGTTGGGTTCCTTGATCCATCCATGGTGAATGAGGTTAATTTACAACAGAGCTTCACTGAGGTGGTTGACTATGTCAACCGGTGTTTATGGGCCCATCAAGACAAGGAGTACATCATGTGCGTACACAACCAAGAGTAAGAGGACAATACCCTTCGTGTATATTGTTTTTTAAGTTAAGGTTCTTAGTACTAACGCTACATAACCACTGCGCAGGCGACATTGGATTCTCCTAGTCATCGTACCTAAGTGGAGTAGGGTTACCTACCTTAACTCCAATAAGTCCAAAGATTATGATTTCAGTGAAATCACCAAGGCCTTAAATATGGCTTGGGGCCCATATGTGGAAAAGGGTGGTAGGCACAAGGAGGGCAAGAATGAACTTTATCATGACACCAAGTTTGCATGCGCACAACAGATCGGAGACCAATGTGGTTTCCACGTGTGCCACAACATGTCAACACTTCTAAGAGAGGTGAAAGATTTCGACCCTGAGGTTGTTGCTAATGGCGAATAAGCTCATTTCAATATCTACATTGCTATTCAAAACGTGCTAATTAACCTCTTATTTATTAAACAGAAAGGTAGAGCTGGCTTCAAGATCTCACCCATCAACCCCCCCGCTATCAGAGGCGAATTGTGCGCCTTTATTCTTGCAGAAATAATGAACAAGAAAGGACGTTTTCATGCCAAATAGACTCATGAACTTGGCTAGATAATTTATTGTGATGTAAAAAAGATGTTTTTATAATTTCTGGCGATGTAAAAAATTATGTTTTTATAGAGTGCAATGTAATTTACTTTCATATGTGCAATATTTATGGTACTTTACTAAATTGTCATCACATTTGATCAACTACGATTTATGTTGTACTATTCATCTGTTTCTCCTTTTTTTTCCCTTATTGACAGGTTGTGGAGGTTCACAACGAACAGAATACAAGAAATTTTGGTAATCATTTGAGGACTTTCATGGGGTATGAATTGTGTGCTATAATAAATTAAATTGTTGCATATGTGATGTTGTAAATTGTTGCTTTGTGATGGATGTGTGATATGTGATGCATCTGTGATGTTGGGCAGTTGGGGATATGTGATACATATGGAGGGGGGGTGACTGGCACCTGTGATGTTTCTGTTTTTCAGAGGGCATGGCTAGCAATTCCTGAGGCTAGCCAATATTTAGCATTTATTTTTTTTCTGGAATTAACTCATCAGTGACGGTTCGGAAGAAACATCCGTCACAGGTAACCTCACCTGTGACGGACTCGCAAACGTCGGACCGTCACAGGTGACCCACCTGTGACGGGCTTTTACTTTCGGGCCCGTCACAGGTGGGTCACCCTGTGACGGCTACTATATACCGGAGATCATCACCTCTGACGGGCCTTTATTTAGGGGCTCGTCAGAGATGAGACACCTGTGACGGGTCCTAACAAGCCCTAGTCTAGCTTAGACCAACACCTCTGACGGCCTTCTATTAACTTGCCCGTCAGAGGTGGATGTCACCACTGACGGCCGGCCACCCGTCAAAGGTGACTGGACTTACCAGTGACCACTGATCACTGACCAAGCCCAAAACCGTCAAAGGTGAGGGTTTGGGCCCGTCACAGGTGACCTTGACCAGTGTAGTGCCTCTTGGTCAACCTGAGCAACGACAAACAAGGATACAGCTATAGAGGTTAGGACAAACATGGCTGGCCGAAGCAGTAGCAGCACACAATGCAGCAGGACCATACCCGAGAAGCCTCCAAACTTGGTGTACAAGTAGTCATAGATCAGGGAAAGATGGACCTCAGCCAACTTGTATACCAGATCAGCTCGTTTCTCCGAAGATTTGATCCTTGCCACGAGGCCTTCGTTCCAATCGGTTTCAGGGCGCAAGGATTTCGCAGGGATCACGTCCATGAGGAAATCTAAGCTTAGCTGGAAGCCCCGGGTGGCCAGCTCCAAGACTAGCTCGAAATGTAGCTGAAGATTCTCCACAAAAATACAATTCAGCTTGTCGTAGTACCAGAACACTTCACGTTCGAATTCCCGCCTGGCGCCGGTAACATGGCCGGCGATGGATCTGCTTCCAGGTGCCCGTGAGCCTGCTCTCCTGAGATACCACGCCCTCTCGGCGTACTTGCCGATCCCGCAGACGAAGATAAGCAGCATGGGGGGCAGGAGACGCCGGTCGCCTCGCCACTGCTTGGCCACGACGTAGATGGCCAGCGTCGACTGCGTCAGCAGGTTCAGCACATGTCGCTTCCACAGCGCGCTGTCCTCCATGGAGAAAGCCGAGATAGTCTCCTGCCCGCCAAGATGGAGCAGCAGAAATGGCGCCCAGAAGATCGTCAGCTGGTGGCGTGGGTCACCCGTCTGGAGGGTGAGCCGGCCGAGAACGAAGACAGCAACGGAGTCTGCCGAGAGGTAGGCGAGCCACAGCAGCCCACGTAGCACGCGCGACCTGTGGCGCTTCCGGAAGCCCGTGGCGAAGAGGAGGAACGCCTGCAGCAAGAAGCTCACTATCACCAGGCATTGTATCTCCCACTCGTTCCACAGTTGTTGGACTCGCGCAATTGCCCTGTTATATATATACACACCGGAGAATTGAAAAGAGCCAAAGAGAATTAGCTAGTGATCGTTTCAGGAAAAGAAAGGGGTTTCAGTATATGATTTTGGGAAAAAAATGTTTTATTTTGTTATTCAGATAGGGAAATAGCTAAACATCAGTCAATTTATTTACTGATCTAGCTATCATATCAATCAAATGTTGGACCATTGGATCTGATTGAGAAATCTGCATATATGTCGTCAAAAAAAGTGGTTTGCTGGAATGCCATCAGTTTAATAGGATTCAATAAAATACCACTCTCAACCGAAGCATCTTCATTGCAATACCGTCCTGGACCATCTTACCATTGGGCTGCTTCTTCCTCCTTCCAACGCCTCTTCGTCCTCCTTCCAGTGTCGTTGTAGCTCATCAGTGACCACGACGTTTTGCCCACTGCAGCAGACGCAACATTTCTGTGGTGGCTACCAGCGAGGGATTGAGTTGGGATCCATCCACAACAGTAGCAACGAGGTGAGGGCCGACACCAGCAACATGATACGTATAGTATAGTAGCGGCGATCAAGCGAGGGACAGCGCCAGCAGCTGCAACGGCGGGATCTGCAGTGGCGATAGCAGGCATCACTCATGGGATGCCTCCGCATCTGCCTTCTCTCCAACGACCCTTCCTTTGTCATCGCAACACCAGCACCTCTCACACAAGCCTGGCCACGTGCGGGCGCTTGCACAACCCAGTAAACGCGCTGCTTCATTGGGGTGTTGATTAATTAGGGCTAAGTTTAAAACAGATGTAGTGGTCACCTCCAATTTTATTCACTAGTCCTGATACAGTACTTGTCACCAATCAACCCCTCTCATTTTCTCTTGTTTCTTTAAGTTTGTTTGGAGGTTGTCTTTTGCATGAGGAGTGGCATCTCCTCTCACTTCTCTTCTCTCTTCCAAATCATCATTTAACCATACATGGCACTTTGTAGTTTGTGCTTATAACCTCATAGTACTTGCTCTTAGTGCAGGGTCGAAAGAAGGCAATCGCATGACCATACAGCTAATTTGCACCTAGTCGCGCGCGCCCCTCCCGCACGACCAACCACATGGCGTGCAGGAGAGGGGACATGTGCACGGTTGTTTTTCTTTTTTTCTATTTTTTTCGGTGTTTCTGTTAGTCTTTTTCGGTTTTTCTATTCGGTTTTTTATACGTACGTCTACAAACTTTATATACGTGTATTTTTTTTATACATATATATCTTTTGTAAACGTATTGACGGTCGTTAAGTACCAATTTCCACCGTCAACGAGCAGAATAAATAAAGGGAAATTTTGCATTTCTTACACGTATACCAATAATAAATAATTTAGTCGTATTAGGATTGGAGAATTAACATGAATGCAGGAATTATACACTAAAGTGAAGGATAAATGAAGCCGGCAAGCAAGAAAACATACTTCCAGCGAATCACGTGCGAGCATACGGATTGAGGAGTCCATAAGTCACCTCAAACCGACTTAGAGTGAGGCCAACCTCCCAGGAACCGCCTTAGGGGCCACAAGACAGTCACTGAAGAAAGGTGGTTGCGAGGAGGTGGGGCCAGAGGTTCAGTCGAACCGTCATCAGTTCCACTCATCCTGGCCCTCCACGTGCTGGTCCTTCATTGGCCCCAAATGGCAGTTATGGGAGGTCGGTAGCCTACAACCATCATTGGAGGCTATAAATAGAGCTCTCCACTTCACTTCACAACACACACTTTTAAGGAGCAAATTCCCTCAACCACCTTGTGGTCTCTATAGTTTCTAGTAGAAATAAAGCATAGGAGCTTCAGTCCAATAATCTTCTTGGAGTTCTGGGTATGTCTATAGTACTCTCTTATTTGTGTACAACTATAGTTGAATTAATATAATCACCTTCTTTATTTATTTATGCTCATGGTTTATATATTTCTTTATTGAATATATTTTCTATGAGTGGTATATACATAGTATATCTGCTTCATCCTAGGCTAGTTGATCCTTGCTACGATAACGGTCCAATGACTTTTAGGTCCAACTTGTTCATCCGTAGGGTGAGACTCCTGTGTGAGTTAGTGATATTGTTTATTTGCATAGACATGGTGCTTAGGCTAGATAAATATCGTTAGATGCGGGTGTGCACCACAGAAATTGAGGTTGGCGGCATGTGGAGATAGCAATGTCCATCCGTTGTATATGTTTCTCCACGTTCGGGTATGACGTAAGAGTGCGTAAATACCATAACGAGGCTGGCAGACTAGCTGGAAGTGGTCTCTCAGTAGTACATGGTTGCATGGAACTAAGTTCTATGTTGTAAGCATGTATATGCTAAGTGTATACTAGACATGATTAGTACAAAAGTACAGATGAATCATAGTTTCCTAGGGCTGTGAGCATAGCTCAACTGGTTAGGTTCCTTGTGGTTGTCACGCCCGGAAGTTTCCCCTTTTGCTTGCTTTAAAAAAATTGGTTAAATAAATTGTCCGAAGAAATTATCTTAATTAACCTAGAGCTAATTCCATAATTAATAAATGCAATTAATAATTGGAATTGGCATTGTGGGATTTTTTCTTGGGTTCCACATGTCACAATTTCGAATCCCACCCCTCTCTCTCTCTCCTCCCCACGTCGCCGGCCAAATCGGGAGGGTTCCCGGCCACGTCCTCCCCTCCCTCGCCCATACAAGCACTCTCCCGAGCCCCCTCTTTCGTTTTCCCTCATTCGCCGCGCTCTCCCGTGCCTCCTATCGCGCTCGCGCCGCTTGTTGCTAGCGCCGCCGCTTGCCGTCGCCTTCGGGCGCGCGCCACTGCCGCTAGGGTCGCCGCCGCGCCAACCCGCCACCGCCGTTAGCTTCGCCGCCGCGAGAGCTACCTCGGCCGCCGCTTCGTTGCCGCGAATCACCGCCGGAGCTCCGATTTCCCCGCGTCGCCGGTGTGCTCGCCATTGTTTCCATCTCCGGCCGGCCATTTTGGTCGTCGCGGTCGCTTTCTCCATCCCTAACGCCTCTCCATCTTCTCCTAGGGTGTCGCCGCCGCCCGTCCGTGCCTCCGCATCACCGGTCGTCGCTGCCGCTTTCTTCCTTCGCGCCGGCCGCCGTGCTCGAAGGTGAGGAATCCCCTCTCCTCCTTCCTTTCCTCTCTCTCCCATGAGCGCCGCCGCCCTCCGCGCGTGCGCCGTCGTCTTCGGCCGCCGCCGCCGCCTTCGCGCCGGCCGCCGCCGTCTCCCGCGCCGCCGGTCACCGCCGGTGACCGCGCGTGCCGCCGCCGCCGCCCTCGCCATAACCGGCCGGCCGGCTTGAAGCCGAGCCGAGCCAGGCCGCCTTTCCCCCCCTTTGTGACACTGCCCAGTGGGCCCGCTTGCCAGCCGCCCCCTCTCCCTCTCTTAGTGCCACTGACCAGTGGGGCCCGCATGTCGGCGCCGCCCCACCCCTTGCTGACGTCAGCCCTGGGGCAATATTGCGCAATAATTAATTAAGGACTTTTCTTTATTAGTAAAAACACAGTTTATCTTCTAAAATTCATAAGTAATTCATCCGAGCTCCGTTTAAGTCCATTCAATTCTCAGTAAATCAAGAAAAATGCAAAGAATCCATTAAAAATGCTTTTGTTTCCTGTTTCAGTAGTCTTATAGCATGTTTTGCTTGTGTGCTTTGTTTGTCGCGTAGATTTCGGCCGTTTCGTCGATCCGCGGTTTTTCGAAGACGTTGCTGAGGTCTCATCAGTGCGAGAGCAAGGCAAGTCATGCTTTACGTTTGATCATATTGTACCCAATTTACAAACACCCTACATTTCTATTAAATGTTGCATTCTTTTACAATGTCATGTGGGATGGGTCCTATTACTCAGCCATTTATTGTTTACCATATGCCATTGATAACCTGGGTATCAAAATGACTAGATGTTGGTTTAGGAAATGCTTAGCCATGCTTAGTTCAACTAGCACACACATGGGGATCACATTTTTACATAGACTTTGACTATGAGCATAGCTTTGGATTGGTGCCACCGCAATGGTGTTAGGTAATTAAAATACACTGAATGGTGGGCTGTGGGTGCATGGTTTTGCTGGTCGCACCCATGGCAATTAAGGACCGGTTCACGGGAAACCCTGGGAGACTTACCGTGCTTACCACAAGCGGGAGTGGGTAACTGCTTGATCTGAAGTATAGCTCGACCCTTTCCTAGGCACCGGTGGCGAGGGTGGGCGTGATGGAGTTGGGTCGGCCGGGGTGTCCGGTTGTCCAGCTGCCGGATTCACCGCGGCGCAAGAGGGGACCGCCCACTGCCTTTTGAGGGGTGGGGGTGAAACCTTAGCGTGGTGTGGATGGTTAGGGGAGGGTTATGTGGAGGGTCTTGTCACGATTTCCCCCTTTGCAGTATCATGGTGATACTTCGGGGCATGGCGACATGTGTGGAATCGTGTCTTGTGGGTACAGTTGTACACCTCTGGCCAAAGTAAAACTATTCGAATAGCCGTGCCCGCGGTTATGGGCGATCAACTAGATTCACCGTGATTAGTCTCACCCCTAGTTTAGCTTAATGAACTGGTGTAGTTCAGGTGGTTGGTTGGGCCTGTTGCAACGTGGTGTAGCGTTGGACAGTGTTTGGTTAATATTGATTAATTACTACAACTGTTTTACTGCTTTCAACTACTGCTTTTAAATGCTAGTTTTATGCAAAAGAACCTCTAGCCTCCTTTGGTTATATCCTGCATCATACCTCCCCTTCCGGTATGACTTGCTGAGTACAGTGGGTAGTACTCAGTCTTGCTCTCTTTTTCCCCCACACCAGAGCTGAAGATCTTCCTAGTTGGAGCTGTTTTGTCAAAGTGGGTTTCGTCGCTGCCGTCAAGGATTGCCTGTGGAGTGGAGTCGCTCGCTGCTGAAGTCAAGCTTCCCGGTTTAGCTCGCTTTTATCTTTTCCGCTGCATTTGTAATCTTTTCTATTTTTGTAAGACGTGGATTTGTATGTCAACAATTGTCGTTTGTGTACCCTGGCTGGTCCTGGACAGGGATTTAATGCACATTCAGCTTAGAAATTCTGGTTTGAGAATTTCTGGGCGTGACAGTGGTGGAACCAGCCCACCCAGGTTCAAATCCTAGATTTGACACGGGTGCTCGCATTTACGGCTAATTATTCTTCCAGTGGTAGACGACGTACCCGTCGACAGCGAGGCGCCTGTGGTGACTTCGTCAATCTCAAGAAATGCTGGCCCAGTCTTTCGGAGGTGCTCATAGGGGTAGGGTGTGCGTGTGTACGTTCATCGGGGTGAGTGTGTGCACGTTGTGAGCGCCTGCGTTTGTACTGTGTTTCTCAAAAAAAAAAAGTTTCCTAGGGCTGTTTCATACTAGATATTCTTTTAGAGGTGAATCTGCTATGTGTCCACTATCTTATCCAATTTTATCTTAACCCCTGTTTAAACTATGGTGAATAAATTATAGGTTGACTAAAGAAATATAAAACATATCTCCATACCGTCGCCTTCCTTACGGAAATATAAATAAGATATCCTTGGAAATACTCATGGGTGATACCCAACAATACCAACAATATGCACATATGCAATGTTTGTGTATTTTGTATACGTGTATATATATTTTATATTTTATATTTTATCGTATATATACATATTATATCAAAATCACTACTGTAGAATAGCCGATAGGTGCGGGTTTGGAACCGGCCTTGGGTGCCGGTTTTCTCAACCGGCACCTTTGAGGTTCTCTCAAATGTGTTGGTTTAAGAACTGACTCCTTTGAGGTTCACATAATAACAAAAAGGGTCGTCTCGATGTATCAAGCACATTCCCTCAACTTCGCCACCAAAATCAATCCAGTCATTATCACAACAACATCAACTACACAACACAAACAACAACATCATCCCCTCCGCTGGATCTGCCCACAGGAGCCGCCGATGTCGTCGTTACCACCGCCGGATCCGCAGGAAAAGCCGCCGCAGTCGGATCCGCTGCTGCAGAAGCTCAGGACGGAGGGGGAGGGGTTAGAGGACCGCTCGATCCGCCCGTCGGAAACACCAGCGTCGCCACCTCCGGCGGATCTGCCCGCGGGAGCGCCAATGCCACCGCCGCGGCCGCAGGAGAAGCTTGGGTGCGGAGCGGGAGGAGGGGGGTTAGAGGACCACCGGATGCGCCGGCATAAACACCTTCGCCGCCGCGTACACTGGATCCGCCCGCGGGAGCTTCGATGCCATCGTCTCACCACAATGGGAAAAGCTTGGGGGCGTAAGGTCCGCCCGCTGGTTACGCCACTGCCGCCGCCTCCTCCGGATCCGCAAGCAGGAGCTGCCGACACCACCGCCACCGCTGGATCTGCGGAGAAGCTTGGGGCCGGATGAGGAGGGGGAAGGGGAGGGGGTTGAAGACCACCGGATTCTGCCTGCAAGAACTGCTGATGCCATCGCCGCCACATCCTCTACTGCTAGCGAGCTAGACGAGAGGGGAGGCGGCGGGGATGAGAGAAGGGAGTAGAGGGAGTGAGGGAGTGAGAGGGCAAGAGGAGGGGGCGAGTGGATAAAGACGACACGCTCTCCTCACCTCCCACGACATCTTTATGCAGGCGGCCCGTGCGATTAAAAAAACGGCTCTCTCAGCTCGGCTCGGCTCGCTTGATAGGGTGCCGATTTTTTTAAAAAAACGACACTTATGATATATTAAAGATAACTTTTTTCTAAAAAAACCGGCACATATAATATATGTGTCGGTTTTTCTCTACAACCGACACCTATTGTCACTTAAAGGTGCCCTTTTTTTAATTTTCAGCTTGTGTAGGTGGCAAAACACTATATGTGTTAGTTTTAAATGAACCAGCACCTATAAGCCTAATGCTATGAGGGTTTTTTATAGTAAAATGTGTACGCAGAAACTAGATGGGCCGGACTGGTCGTGCGGATCTGCGTCCCCCATCGCATGAGATGGTGATGGCCGGATTGGGATTGCTGAGATCGACTATTTGCTCTGTATCAACATGTTTTTTCTGACCAGGATACTCTACTCTTTTTCTGCGTTGCTTGGCCTGTAGAATGGTAACTAACTAACAATACATAATATCCTGATCGATTGGCATTCTGGTTTATGTGGTAGAATTTTTTGTTTATACTATTATAGCCTACATGTAATCTATGTAATCCTACTAGAATACGCATGGATGAAAAATTGGTTTCTTGCTCCATGCTGCTGGTTGGACTGCTGAGAAATGGCGCACCTACGGCATCGCAGCTCAAGCCGCCCAGGAACGAAAGGATGCTGCACAGCAGCTTGAACGGGCACCCTCGCATCCGGCTCCAGCTGCCCGGGACGAAGGAGCGGATGCAGCGTAGCCGCTAAAGCCTAGGGGGAGTTGGGAACTCACACCGGGCCATAGATATCCCGTGCTAGCTGCCGCTTTTGCCACCCTATCCTGTTGCAGGTGTTGCTCGATTTGTATTCTGGTGAGGATTTGTATTCTGCTTGACGCATCAGGCATTTAAGCAGAGAACGCTACCACAACACCACATTTGCTGCCGAGAAGAATCCAAGGGAACGAAGGGAGTACGGAAGAACAGATACAAAGGAAGAACCTGATAAGACTATTGGGATAGCCGGATAGGATTGGCATTTCTACAAAGAAATGAATGATCCGGCACTATAGGTGAGCAGTGAGCTAAAGGGAAAGAGCTGAAATTAACGGCTCGAACGAAAAAAAGAGCTGAAATTGCTACCTGATGGCAATGGCATATCAGGTAGCAAAATTTCATCGAGTGGCAAATAAGGGAAAATTTTCATCGATGGTTTAGGGTAACTTTGAACGAACAAGCAATTTTCAAAGGAAAAAAAAAGGAGAAAATGTACCACCGTTAAAAATTAACGGCTTTAACTGTTACCTGTGTTGAGCGGGGAGAGAGTAGCCCAGACGATCCCTTAGCACCCTCCTCATGTTGCAATTGCTCAAACGAAGACGCAACTCTGAGCGGCGCCGCCTGCTTTGCTGACCGAGATAAAAAAAACCCGAGGGTTTGTTGATATATAGATGTGATGGTCTGTAGTGGGTTGGATGCTCCATTGTTTGTTTGGGTCGTCAAGGCAGGTGGAACAAATGAAGACAATGACGATGATTACTATCATACTTCCTCCGTTTCATATTAGAAGTTAACTCTTTTCATAGTTGAACTCTATAAAGTTTGACCAAGTATATAAAAAAATTTAGTAACATATAAAATAACAAATTAGTTTCATTAAATCTAACATCGAACATATTTTGATAATATGGTTAAGTTGTTTTATATTGAGAACACTACTATAGTATTTTTTATATAAATTGACTAGGAAAAAAAATCAAACTACTTGGAAACGAAGGGAGTAATATATTAGAGTTCCGCTATGGTGTTATCTATTGATATTGATAGTAGAAAAGAATCTAAACCGTTAATCTAATCTTATCCAAAGATTTAGATCTATTTATACTATCACATTATTTGACGCTAGTAGAAATATAGAAGAGTATTAATTGTCAAGAAAAAAATTAGGAGCGGAGGGATAAATCTTTACTTTAGTTGTTTTCCTTTTTTACATGTAATCTGAGCGAGCAAGCTCGACATATGAGGAGATGAGCACAGACCGATCGAGGGACAAAACATTAATTTCAATGTTACTTCTAATCACTTTGTTAGTAAAGTACTAATCCATCCTTAGAAATGAACTGCTCAGATCATTTGTATAGATAGTATGAGCACCGTAGTGTTTCTCGATTAATTTCGGTGATGCTGACATAAGTGACAAAGATACTACTCCCTTCATCCTAAAATATAGCAACTGTTTGTTGGATGGAATACATCATAGTACAACATATGTAAACAAAGGTATGTCTAAATTTATTGTACTAACATATGTCACATCTAATATATGTTGCTATATTTTAGGACGGAGGGAGTCTTAATGGGCTTTTAACGTGAATGATGCTGACATGAGTGCGACAAAGATGCTGACATGAGTGATGCTGACATGAGTGACAACGATACTAATTTAAGGCTAATGGTGATAGCAATATAAGGACTATTTAACGTGTAGGAATAGAACAAATTAAAGTGGGTCTTCCAATACGATGTCTTCTGCTTTTGCCTACTTTTTCTAACAATCACTGTGAAATACTCCCTCCATACTCGGAAAGGAACTCGTTTAGGACAGCGACACGGTCTCCAAAATAAAACTTTGACTTCTTTTTATTGAAAATTGATATATGTATATATACTTTTATGAAAGTATTTTTCAAGACAAATCTATTCATATAATTTTTATATTTTCAAACTCAACTACTTAAGAGTTATTTATGATTTATATTCCTAATGTTTGTCTTAAATATTGTCCTAAATAATTTCCTTGTGAGTATGGAGGGAGTACTGAGCCAGATCAATGAGAGGACCATTTGATGGTTCAGCTTGATGTGCCTGCCCCTGGACCAGGACATGGAATTGGATCCGGACATGGACGGGCTGCTTTACACTTCCTCATCCATGTCCACTGAGCCACTCGATGGCTGATCTGGCGGCAATGTTGAATGCTTCGGTACTAGAGTATTCTCCATTAAGATGTGGGCGGAGACCATAGACCAGCATATGTTCATTCGAGATAGGACTACAAATCTAAAGGCGGGATGCCATTTAGAGATGACCTCAGACAAATGGAATCAATTCTATTTATTTTATAGCATTAATAGACATAAAACCAAATAGATGACGCTTCATTTTTGCTGCTTTGACTCACTGGCTACTACTTAAAAGCTCATAGGTGCTGGTTCTAAAGGGCTTACCTCTTTCTTCACACAAAGTCACTTTGCCAGCTCACCTACAAACACTTCTTGTCTTGGAAACAGAAACTATTCTTTTAAGAGCAAGGTTAATTGTATAGCCAACTACTGGCTCCAAAACATTTATAGCCAATCTAATAGCCCATTCATACAATAGTTAACTGTAAAAATATACTACACCATTAATACACGGTCCCACCTCTCATACACACATAGCATATTGGAGTCCGTGTTGCAGCCGGCTACAAATCTGTAGCCCGCTTTCTTCTCTCTCTTCTCTTTTCTTCTCAATATATGGTTACAGCCGGCTTATAACCTGCTATTGTACCTGCTCTAAGACTAGCTACCTTATAGAGACCAAGTCAAGCCAAATAGATCCGAACGGATTGTGCTGTCATCTAGAGGAGAGGAAAATATGTGTTCATGAAAATCACTTTAAATTTATAACGGTTAAATTAAGGGCACAAAAAACTTCATATCAAAATGCCCGGAATTCCTGGTAGCTTTCACAACCGAGCAGAGAAAGCTGGCTGGAACATCCGAAGTTCTTCCCCATGAACTTTTGGGTACCTATGAGTTGCTCTTCCAAGCACCTCATAGCGAGTAAAGCAATTCCCTGGAAACCAAGAACATATATCAATATAGCAGGTAGCAAGCAATAGCACCACACAGGTATAATAAGCAAAATAGCAAGAGGGAACAAATGACAAGACAAGGGGACACAAGGAATTTTTTTTTTCCGGAAGTTCAGATCACAAGGATCATACTCTCCATTACGGAGAGCTCTAGAGGGTTGTGTCTCAGTTAACCCCTTGTCTCACCAAGCAAGAGTCCAGGAAGAAACCTTTAGCCACCAAGCCAATACCCCTAGATTTTCTTCGATTTCAAGTGATCATAAAGATTTCCAACTTGGACACTGAGTTTACACTATAGTTGAAGCTTGCTCTACCAAAGCAACCTCCTAGCAACGAGCTATATCCACTCACCGGGTATTTCATTTCCTATCGGAGATGGAATAGCTCCCTCACTAACATCCCGCAACTCACCACAAGTTTGGAAGCTCACCGGCCGGGAGACACCTAACCGTCTCGGATGCTTAAATCAACGATTTGCTTACTATGAACTCAAGTGCTCAAAGGATGGATCGAGTGGATCTCTCATGGTCTCAACCATGCAACTCTCTATCTTTCAAATCAACCCTATACTCTTCTCAAATCTCACTCACAAAGAGCTACCACAAAGGTAACCCCGAGTACAAACTTAGTCCATTAGAGACACGACTCAAACTTTCCTAAAGATAAAATACAAATAAGTCCATATTGGCGGACTCTTGCCATATCTTTAACAAACCGACTTAAATATCCTAATTAGTAGATACAAATGCCTTAATCGAGCTCTATCTCTAATTGGCAATGACGGTTATTCCAAACCAAGCCCAAACCGGGCCCAAGTCATATCGTATCCGCCACACGCCATATCGGCTAGTCTGTGTTCTGTTTCTAGACGATATGATGCCAGCCGATGCGCAGTCTAACTGTGAATCTAACTTGATCTTGCACCAAATCCGCTTTGATCTTGTTCCTTCCTCTTCGAGTAAATCTGATGAAAAATTTCATTGTTAACACATGCCCCCCAATTCCGTTGAATTATATAATGCAGTGGAATTTGCTCTTGTCAAACCCGAGAAATTCTATGGTTTTCTGTTTTCAACCGTTCAGCTTATAAGTAGAAGTCCACTATTTGCAACTCTTTTTCTGGCTAAGTCCTCCACTAGCACTCCTTTTGCGAAAAATCCACTTTGTCTCCGGCTACCTTTCTGCCAACTCGGCTCCCAGCGGCGAAACCCCTGCTTCAAGTGATCTTCACATTGACTTATAGTGATGGCGCACACATCAGAAATTCCCGAGGTGAGCTCATCAGTACCCTCTCTATCGGCATTACTTTATATTCCAAGATCCAATCTCTTGCACTTTTCTAGCTCATGCAANGNTAACTTGCTCTTATTCTGNNTATCAACCATATCCCGCATCTTAAAACCAAATCTTGATCCCATCTTGNCAAGACCAAGCAATTTCTTTCTTGGGGCGATGGGCAACCCTGACCCTGTAGAATTCATCAACGCCGAAACTAATAGGGTTCCCTTCAGACAAACCAACCCATATTTAGTCAAATGGAAATCAACTTTCAGGTCATGGCCATCTTCCCTGAAGGGATATAGAACTTGGTACAAAAGGATAGCAGCTTCCAAGCAACAACATTGGGAAGAAATGGGAATAGCTCAATGCTTATCTCTGTCTTTGGCCAATATGAAGAAAAATGAACCAATGTTATCGGCAGCTACATACTTTTGGTCAGACACCCTCAATTGCTTCCTGTTTAGGCAAGGCCCCATGACCCCAACATTGTGTTAGACTTAATCTTGTTGTTTATTGTGTGAGTTGTGATTAGTGCGTGCATGAGTTAGCTTGATCAAGAAAATCCATGGTCTGCATGTAAGTGCTTGCATGTAGGAAGCTATAGGTGGATATCGGCTGGGAGTAGTGGCCGAGTCAAGTAGCTGGAGTAGTGGCATGGATTGTGGATCAGTTAGCTGTGTTGCATGTGTGTTAGTGCATTTGCATCCAAGAGATATGGCCTGCATGCATAGAGACGTGATTAGTGGTTAATTAGTGGCTATGTCATGTGAGTGGTGGCCGGTTAGTGCGGCAAAAAAACGTGGCTAGTGTGCTGCTGCGCGTGTGTGCTATTTAAGCATGTAATCAGTGTGTGATTAAAGTGTGGAAAATAGAAAGTGAAGTGTGTGGTGGTTCACTGGTGTGCAGTGACAAGAAATTTCCTTGCGTCTCTTTGTTTCATTGCGTGCTGTTCATCTTCTTCCTCTGTCATTGCCTCCTCTGTGTGTGTGTTTCATCGAGTGAAAGAGAGAGAGAGAGAGCTGTGTGTGTGCAAGTGAGTCTTTGGGCTAACACATTGTTGGATATAAAGATGCTGACAGGTCTAGACATCACTACTTCCATCGATCCTTTCCACTTAGACATCAAATGTGATCATGTCCTCGAAATCAAAATTGCTGGAGGGTGGAGAAGATATATGGCAGAACACAGAGGAACAGGGCCTGTAACTGAGAGTGAGCATGTTGCATTTTTGGCTGTGGTTAGAAAGAGATGTCTTCTGTGGGTCAACTTGTGATCCAACAGCCAGCTATTCACACTTAAGTGGTGTCGGTTCTCTACATCAAGGCCCTCGTCCCCTTCGTCCTCGACCTCAGTGCTACGAACTACTCCAAATGGCACAGCTTGTTC